ATCATTTTATTCTCTAATCTACTCTAAAATTATTATTAATCATATTAATAAATTTATTATTTAGTTATAAATAAATATTATTTCAAAGACTTAGAAGAAATAAAATTAGAAAAATATATCGCATAAATTCCAAAATATGATTATAACGCTATTTATAACTTGTATTTTAAGGAAATTATTTTTCAAAAAAAATTGTTTACCTTATTTAAATCTCTAATTTGGATTTATGGCTAATTACTATCATGTGTGTCCCTTTTTTACATATTTAGTTATATAATTTACTAATATAAATGAAATTGTTGTTTGCTTATATTAGTAAATATATTCTTTATTTATAAATAATTATTTTAAAAATTAGAGAAACTGAAAATGCAAAAAATAAAAGCATAGAAATAATTATCTTTTTATTTTTTGCCTTTTGGTTAATTACTTTTATGTTTTATCTTTTTTCTTTTATTTTAAGTTATATTATTTTCTAAAATAATTAAAAATATTTTCAAATAATATTAGCAATAAATTATTTACTTATAAATAAATATTCTTATGAAATTAGAAAAAATAAAAATACAAAAAATATGTCGCATGATATGTTTAACAAATAGCCCATAATAATTAGATATATATTGAAATTAAAATTATTAGTACTGTTGCCGAAAAATATTAAAAGGATATATATACCTTTCTCTTTATACTATGTGCTGAATATTAAATAATAGGATCCGGTTTCTATGCGGCCAAGCTTGCATATTTAGAAATGCAAGCCTATTAATAAATCTTTTTTTGAGATGGATTTTTTTACTTAATTTTTAACTAACATGGAGATCGTGAATATGAAAAAAAATAAATAAATTTTAAAAACTAGAAATAATAATTCTAGTAAGAAAACAGTTGAATCGTTAGTTTGCATTGTTTTTAGATGGAACACTTGCATCCGTCTTTAAGATGGATGCTTTACACTTTTTGGATTGCATATGTAGTCATGCAATCCATCCTGCATGAAACAATTTTCCTAAACAATATATGAAAATTGACATCTTAATAACTTAGTCCATAACTACATTTATTAATTGTAAACTAAAGAATTTGTTTACTATTAATAAATAATTATATATTTATACTTTTGTGATTATGAGATATTCACAATATTTAACTAGGATTCTAATTATTTTTGTAATTTATTTCAATTGTTTTTATATAATTAATTGCATCTATATCTATCACGATATTGAACATTTTACTTTTATTATTTATTATATAATAAAGGAATTTGGTATAATAATTTAAACAAGCTACACTATAAAAAATAGAATAGTTATATGTAAATTTATATAACTATCACTATAATATTAGAATAATATTAAGTTAAAATTTGAATAGTGCTTCAAAATAATCATTTTTGTTTCTAATGAAATTATAATTGATATCTTTATAATAAGTGCAGGATTACAATTATTTTAGTTATGATAAAAAAGAGTGTTGAGAGGGAGAAGAGAGAGAATCCATAGAGAGAGTGCATGTATAGAAGAGAGAAATAAAATTTTTCTTATAATATTTAAGAGATAATGGATAATTAAAATAAAAATAATATTAGACAATTAGTACATGAGAGATAAAGAGAATGGTGACAGAGAACATATGGTAGAGATTGTGGGAGAAAAATTACATGCAAATTTTGAGAAAAAAACAAACTTTCAAAGTAAGAGATAATGTTAAAAAACAAACTTTCAAAGTAAGAGATAATGTTGAGAGTTTTAAATTTGTGGCATATTAAATATGTAAGTAATTGTGGAGAGAGAGATTTTTTTTTTTTTTTGATGAATGTCATAAATTTTTATTAAAAAAGATCATCCAAAGGGTATTACATCATTTGAAATGGGAAACAAGAAAAGGAAACATCCCATATAGCCAGTTGATCTGCTAAAGAGTTAGCCTCCCTAAAAACATGTTAGAAAGAGATAGTCAAACAGGCTGATAGGTCAATAATTTGAAGGCATATCAATTTTAACTCCTATGAAACCGTTTGCTTCTTATTGCACCATTGGATAGCATTCATAGAGTCACCTTCAATAATACAACAATTACCCAAGTTTTTGCTGCAAAAGATGTGTAACCAATGATAAATCACATACATTTCAGCACCATTAATCGTAGGCAGTTCCAATTGGCCCTGCATATGTGAAGATAATCCGGCCATTCCAGTCCCGCACTACTCCTCCGACCCCTGCTAACCCTGGGTTACCATAAGAGCTCCCATAAAAATTAAGCTTCAATAAACCTTGTATTGGCGGGGTCCAAACACACCTGATCCAAGTTCTAATAGCACCTAAGGACATAACATTATTTAGATTAACCAAAACATCTACTTCTGAAATTCCCTATCTATCCTTTGTTGCAGCTAGCCAGCACCACATCAGACGTTCGATTTTGTTTAAGACTACATCAAAGGACAGAGATTCCCCTTCGGAAGTTCTACGATTATGCTCCTTCCATATCTCCCACATTACTGCTCTTCTTGCGATCTTCCATATTGCCACACCCATCTTTGGCAAATCAATGCCACACCCATCTTTGGCAAATCAAGGATAGTGCCGATTAAGGCAAACGTAGCCTAATACCCAAAATACAAAAACACCATCCTCAGATCATGTTTACAAAATGATATGCAGGAATAAGTAATCACCAGATTCTGCATCTTCTTTGCACATCAGGCAAGCATAATATCTTTCCTCTTTTGAGTAGATTATCAATGGTTAAGATCTTGTTCTGAGCCGCAAGCCAGATGAAAGCTTGAACTTTATGGGGGATGGGCCATTTCCATATCTGAGAAACTTGTGAGTTTCAAGCAATTTGAATTTGGGTTTCAGAATTTTCTAAACATCTGCCTTGACGCAACTTTACACTACAAAATCTTTTTACATATTTGCAAAGAAAATCCATCAAAAGCTGCGTCAAGGCAGCAACAAGATCGCTGATGCCCTAGCCTCATATGAAGATCATGTCATCCTTATAAGTTATAGCGATGATGATCGTGAAACTTCTGAAGCAGAGCATGCACTGTATTACATTGCCAATATTCTCAAGGAGGATGACACTAGTGATGAAAAGGTTGGGGGCCATTCATCAGCCAACACAATCCGGCTTTTGATTGAAGGGTCCCAAGCTGGTTGCCTGATTGGGGTATTCCGGTAGGAATACCTTGCCAACATTCATATCATGAAACAAAAACACTTGCTAATCTATGCATCTACCTATCAATCTGATCGATTAGTTTAGATATCCGATGAAGGCTGAGCTTGCCTTTGAAAGTGCAGAGCTTAGACTTGCAAAAGTTTAGAGTTGCAGAGCTTAGACGAGTGACCACCATGGGCCTTGCAAAAGTCGGTGCTGCCATGTGCGCCCTTCCCACAACCATTGTACTTGCAGCGATATCTTTGAATGGAGAGAGAAACAATTTGTTCGTAGACTTAAGAGAGAGAGAGAGAGATGACCCAATTTATTTGAGAACCAAGACAGAGAAAGAGAGGTGACAAGCAATCTATTCGTGGAAGGCAGGGTAGAATAATCCTAATACCTGATTCCTGTGAATGGTTAACCCTATTGTCTTACATACCAATTTATTCGTATAATCAAGAGAGAGAAACTAGTATTTTTTAATCCATCATCTTTTCCATTTGAGGAGATACTTTACTGCAACGTTGGTAATCTACAGTCTTTAGCCCGGCAGCCGATCACTTTCTTCCGTGAGGTTCTCACTTTATGTGATCATCCCTCAATATTGGATAGACAAGAGACACATGGCTTGTTCAGTGCCAATGCCATAGATAGAGCCTCGAAAATTCTGGAACAGATTCTAGGAAGAGCTACAGGTGCATATAGTCACAGCCAGGGTATCAAAGGTTTACGATTGATTCCGATTGATTCAAAAACCAAAAAAAAGAAAAAGAGGAAAGAAAAGAAGGTGATTCTGATTGTGATCTCCAAGTTGAGGCCACCATTGC